CAACAAGAATGTTAACACGAATTCGATCCCAACAGCCTGAATTGTAGAGACACCTGGTGATGGGACTGTAGCTCCTAGAGTTCCTCGCTTACTTGGCGGTGTAAGGCCATAGAGCATAGCTGATCCTGCTATACCTAGAATGATCAGTTAATAGAGACAAACTGGTCAGAAAAAAATTTGAAGTAAATTAAAAAATAGACATGTATAGTTTAGACGCAATGTTTTCCCATGCCTTTTTTTCACACCACGTGTCATTCCCTAGAGTATTATTTCTTTGTATAGCGATTGCGCATGAGAAGACACATGAATATGGAAACAACTGTAACGAAGAAGTCTTATTCTCGAGAGAATGGCAGGTGGTCTAAAATGGGACTGAACACAACGCCCAAGATAAAGATTACGATTATCCTCGAAAGCGATGATTTAAGGTAGGTATCTTTTAGGGCACGAAATTAACGACTTCCATAGAGATCTCTTCTCTTTCTATGGAATGCTATAACACGATAGTAACGTCGGAGTAAATGCAAACGACCATTAGCAACAGTCCTGCCTTGGTGTACGTCATTTAGGGTCCGTCATTTATTGAACCAATCACGTACAGCAAGTGAGATTTCTTATCATTCTATGGAATGCTACAACACGCTAGTGACATCTAGGTAATAACAACAGTCCTGCCTAGGTGTACGCCAAAATTGAGTTCATTTTTGGGACTGAATTTGCTTTTGAAGCACCCGAATTAACTTTTATGGTCATTTGTTTAATCTTTGGCAATCGAATTAATATATTCTAATGCAGGATTTTTTTTATTCTGATCTGAATTTATTTATGGTCTTTGGATTTTTAACATGCTAATTATGATGCATTGCGAGTTTCGATTTGACCGAGTGAGAGACTGGTTGTCAAAACAAGATGGCGGAGCAAAAGGAAAACCCATTTTCTTTAGCATGTCGACGTGCAGCAAAAGCTTTAAAAGCTTTCGAAAATATTTCGAACGCGGATGTACAACATCTTGCTGCAGGTGAACAATCCACATTCGTTCCTCTCTCTCTTCGGATCGTCCGACTCTGTACTCATTCACCGCCTTTCCAAGTTAATCATCTTGTTTTAACAACCAGTCTCTCACTCGGTCAAATCGAAACTCGCAATGCATCATAATTAGCATGTTAAAAATCCAAAGACCATAAATAAATTCAGATCAGAATWWAAAAAATCCTGCATTAGAATATATTAATTCGATTGCCAAAGATTAAACAAATGACCATAAAAGTAAATTCGGGTGCTTCAAAAGCAAATTCAGTCCTACCAAAAATTAAATATAATCACCATAAAAGCAAATTCAAAGACCACAATAAAAATACAATAAGCCATGAAATAAATGATGAGAATATTGACTGGATCGGCGCCCCATATAAGTTGGTTTGATAAATTGGATCTAAGTCTTTGTTGTCGTTTATCCCATTTTATTGTGAAGGTCACTATAGTTTAATCACTTTTTTTAATCAGATGTTAATGACAAGCAAATTTCATAATCTATGCTAATTTTTAAGATTTAATGAAAATCCTTGGCAGGAAGGTATTTTATAAATTGGAGAAAAATCAGACATCTTAGCAAACGAGGACGAAATCTTGGCATCCCCTCCTTGCGATCATTTGGGTAACAGACTTCTCTTCCCCTTCCTCCTCCCCTTCCTCCTCCCCTACCCAAAGCGCCAGGCTAGCTTGGCCACCCGTACATTCTCCGTTTAAAACTCATCGTCAGATAAGTTGGGGTAAACTTGCCAAACTGCAAAACGCTGCAAGCACGCCTCTGAAAGCGGAGGGCCACCCCAAGCGTATATGGGGAAACCGCTGAGCAACAGGCACTGACTCGGTTTTAACTTCGCCTTAATTACATTCAGGCACATTTAATATGCCAACTTTGGTCGCCTATAACTTGACGCGCTTTGCTATCTAAACCCGACTTCAAAGTTTGCAGTTTTTGTAATTTCTGTGTGTTCTTTTCAAATATTATGTGTTTTTATTTGTTTTCGATCGCTAATTTTTTATTTATTATTATTATTTTTTTTTTGCAAATTCCCATTATAGCTCATATTCTGCTCGCTTGACTACACGTGACGAGTTTCAGTAATTATTCGCCATGTGCTGTGATCACGTCGTCACGGCTTAAACAACATTATCTCAGACTTGTCGGCAATGCTGCAAGCATAAATTACCACAAGGGGTGCTGCAGGGCTTTATTAACTATCTTCATCTCCACACAAAAAACTTGCACATTAACTTTGTCAACTGATGCAGTCTCTTTAGGGGGAATCAGACCCTTCTTAAAATTGTCTTGAGTGCGACGCTGACATGAAAATACAAACGGAAATCACACTTTTCCTTGATGGAATTTATGGCATTTCTTTTGTATTTCCACTTTTTTTTACGTTAGCCTCGCATCCAAGGCAACTTTTGAAAGGGTCAATTGTCCATCCTGCGTCATCCAACGATGTTGTTGTTCGCAGAGCCTAGCAAAACACGTGAGAAAAAAAGAATTACACTCGGCAGAACTACTGTCATCAGTATGTAACCTTGGCCGAACTGTTCGTCTGTATCGATCACTCTCTCGAGTCAATGCTTTCAACATTAAGATAATGAGATAAGACGCGACTTATTTGCTGCAGGCAATATTATCTTGGCAAAAAGCCCACTCTCGATCTTATTACGTGCTATACGTGTTATATTAGCCTTCCGTTAAAATGTTTTGAATTCTTCTCGAATTAATCATTCATACTAATGTAAAGCTAGTATTTCATACATTAGAGTGCAAACAATATAACAGTAAAACTTTAGTAATACTAAATAGCACAATTTCATGCAAATTCCAATTATTCTATTGTTTTATTAGCACTATTTTGTACTATTTAGTAAAAAGTGTTTCACGGATTAATTGTTTGCACTCTAGTAATGGAATCACGCAAGTGAACATCAAAAGAAAGCTCGGGCTGCCATTGAAGCGTAAAAACAGTCACTTCAAATAATGTTCCTGATCTGTTCCTGATATTTCAGGGTGTGCTTACGTGAAGATTGTCGGTGATTGTTCTATCAATAATATTACAATAATCAAGTTAATAAGGTCAGTTAACTTTTTAAGATGCTTCTAATGGAGCGAAATGTAAAGAACTAATTGCAATAGCCTTCTTTTGAAACCCAACTGTCAAATAGATAAATTACAAAGAGTCCTAAATGCCGCTGCGCGACTCGTTTTTAGAGAGTGTAAATTCTGTCATATTACACCATTACTATGAAGCTTCACTGGTTACCAGTTAACTTACGTATTGATCTTAAAATATTACTTTTCGCGTATAAAGCCATTAATGGACTAGCCCCACCATACATTAGTGCCCTTGTAGGCAGACATCAGGCAAACAGTTCGCAATATAGCCTTAGATCATATGATAAACACTTTTTAAACATACCTAATTTTAAGTCATATGCTACCCTTGGGGACTGTTCTATTACTGTTGCCGCACCAAGGCTTTGGAATGCATTACCATTAGATATTASATAAGCACCGTCTCTTAATATTTTTAAATCGAAACTTAAGACATTATTTCAAATTAGCTTATCATTAAGTGTTACCAATAGCCATGTATTGTTATTTTATTACTTTTTAGATAGTTTGTTTTATAATCTAGTTTCTCAGATTCCATATTTTTATACAATGTACAGTTCGTTTACATACCATATATATATATATCAATAGAGTTATCATAATTGTAAATATCTATTTTTTCACTTTTTATTAAGGCCCGGGTCGCACTTAAGCCAAAACAAAAGTTTGATCGCCAAATGACTTTTTTTTTCTTTCTTCTTGATGTGTTTGTGGTCGCACTGACGTTTGCAAACTTGGCAATGTAACAGTTTATTAAAGCAGTGCCAAGGAATGAACTCTTCATTTCGCGCGATTTTTTATAAACATACTTCTTACAATGCGCCCAGTCGAAGCACTAGCGCATTTGATCATTTTACCATGGAAAATCTCGCTATAGAAATTATAAAATTATTATTATTGTTATCATTAACTAATTGACTTCGTCACTTAATCTGTAATGTCCCCCTTGAGGTTATTAATGGCATTTTGCGCATACTTGGTGATCACGTAGATGAAAACAGCATGCAGTCTGTTTCTTAACTAACTTTGTCCTAATATCTCATCGGTGCTAAGGTTAAGGTTTTCCAAACTTACAGACATAGATAACCTGCTATTTATAAATGCATAAGCAAAATCAAAATGAGCTAGCATTGCGCTAACTCAGTTTAAAAGTAGATTTGGAGGTCAAAGCACTTATAAAGTTAGAGTATACCTGATATAAAATGAAATTACCAAAGGATCAAGTACTGGTATATGTGGTTGGGTTGATCGGCGTTTTACGTCTCTTACCTCCTATGACTTGGACGATTATGTAGAAAGCACCTCGGACTGGAGAGATCTTTCCGGTCACAGTCTGTGCTGCGCTAACAGCAGGGTTGATGAGACCCCCACTAATGTGGAGTATCGACATGGCTAAGGTAGAGATGCTAAGACCAAATGACAGCGAGATGTGTTCAGTGGTTGGTGGACGGCTAGGATCCCAGGTTATCGCTGAACCAGTCGTCAAGAACACGAAGAAGAACGTCGCAAGAAATTCAGCTGCCATGCAGATCCAAAAATCTTTGGTTATTGTTTCTTTCAACATATTTGGAGAAAGGACTTCAATCGTACCGCTGGAAATGGCCTTTTTTTTCAACTAGTAATAATTGTACTTTAATGGATCACAGACGCAAGTGTTTTAAAAACTTAACGTACGACGCGTGAACTTAAATTGAATAATTTTTGTTATCTCTTACTGCGCATGCTCGACGAAAAAAAAAAATCGTCGATCATGCGCAGTAAGAAAGAAACGCGAAGTTATGTAATTCGATTTAGTCCACGTGCCGTTCGTGTTGTCAGACGTGCACACGCAAACGTACACGCCCATGCGCTCACCGGAAATAAATCTAACAAACCATTATTTTTACTGCACATGCTCGACGAAATAAATGGTTTCGATTCTCTTATCATGAAGAGCGAACAATCCACTCTTTGGTATCTTGTGATTTTTTTGATAACTTCTTTGCTTGGACTTCAAAATATTTTACAATTCAGGTGGAAATTACTATGGGAGTCTATTAAATATGCTCGAAATAACTCGCGCACTGATTGGTCGGTGTGACATGACTTCTTAAAATGCTGAATGCGGAGCAACTACAGAATACCGTGCAAATCATATGCAGTTTTCTGGACGTTTTGAATAATAGTTTGAATCTGAATATTAATCAGTGTATATAATTTGGCGGGGTCAAGGAAGCGACGACAACCAAAGCGGATCCAAACTGCTTAACATCATCCTAAATGTTTCGCCAAAAAAATGCTTTCAGACAAAAATTTTTTCTCGCGGGGGTTTGAGGTGATTGATTTTAGGTCCCGATTTCATCGTACTGAGAGCTCACGTTGACAAAATTTTTTGAATATTTCTTTTATTAGGCAAGGGCCACGGTAGCCTGCGTCACATCCGGAATTTTCTTCGTAAATAAGACGCAGGCTAGAGTCACGGTTACAGCACCTTTGATAATTAGGAACGGACCATTAGATTATTGATGGGGGGGGGGGGGGGGGGGGTTGCGAAAATCTTAAAAAAATATCGAGCAAGCACTTCAACCTCCAAAAAAATATCGTGCAACCTCTCGTAACCGAAAACAAATATTGAGCAAACACAGAGGTCAGTGATGTGAAAAGCCGTTTGATGGTTTGGAAACACAAATGGATTCTGCAAAATTAAATTTTACACCTTTCGTTTTGAAACGATTATCCAACCACTACTCTAGTGAAGATTTTTTGTACCTTGTTCAAGTTTTATAGGGGGACTGGGTACTATACATAAATCCGCAGACCAAATTTTATGCTGGCGCAGAAATAAATGTCATTCTCAGGAATATATATTGTTTCTGGCGTCCACACAAAATATGAATGTAAAGTATTAGATTATTTTATTGGATTCAGCAGTGAAGATGAAAGAAATATTGGTGAGTATGATAAAAACAATCAATGCATGTATCTAAATATTAATTTTATGTACAACATATATGGATACATATATAAATAATCATATTAAATGCATGAATAATAAAAGAAAATCTATATATTATAAATTATACTATAAAACAGCTATAAATACATTTTGAATTTTATAGTTATATCATAGAGCACTTATTTAAAAACTGTGCAATATAAAATACCAGCAGCTAATGTGCAATAAAATAAATAAAAAATGAATATTGTATTTGGCCTGCAGGTTTCCCTTTCATCGCCTCAAGCATACTTTGTCTCCAGCTGCCTCTATATCAATTCAAAACACTTATAGAATTGTTACTAACAGTCTTTTGAGCTCTAGTAGAATAAATTTTAACTATTGGTTTTCAAGGAAAAGAAATTTAACATAGCACAGCCAATATTAATAATTTAATATGTATTTYGAATTGTTATATACAAATTACAAATGAAAGTCTAATAGTGATGAAAAATGTAAAAATTGAATTGCATTTTGAGCTGTCAAGAGTGACTAGCTTTGAGCTTACGCATGTATGGAACAGTTCCATTGCATGTTCGTGTATGGAATTTAATAAAACAGACCTAATCGGCTAACGTGTTGCTATGTACGTTRCCACCCAATTCAAACCTTCTGGGAATAGAAGCGTTTGTCTCTATGAATTCAACTGTGAAACCAAAATATAACGAACAATGAAAAGTTACTCCCARAAGGTTTGAATTGGGTGGAAATGTTTATAGCAACACGTTGGCCGATTAGGTCTATTGACGTTCATGATCGGTAATATTATTTTGGCCGTTGAATATTCAATAAATTCCTTATATTACATTTTGGTTGTCACATTTTAAAAAATATCCTGCAAAGTCATGATGCCAGAAAAAAATATCGTGCCACAAAAATTCCAGCAAACCCTCATCAATAACCTAATGGTCCGTCCCTTACGCGACCTCGATAAATTTGGCGCCACCACCTGGCGCCAGCCCAAAACACGGGTTTTGGCTTCCGTCAATCTAACTCACGACTTCCTACCGCTGACTGGCAAATAGCGTTCTTTTTTTACTATGGTCAGCCCGAAAGATTAAAGATTTTTTGCTATTTGAGTGAATCCTAATAGCGCAAGAGATAAACGACAAAGCATTTAACATTCAAGTCTGTAGTTCATAARTCTCATAACACTAATCATTTTTCTAAAAACTATTATATGTATAAGCCAACAGTCAATGAAAACTGCGGTTAACTGCGGTAATGTTTAAAAACGAAAAATATGTACATTAATTTGGCATTCACAAATCGAAAAAATCATAAAATAAATAAATTTTCAAGCCAACTCCAAAACTAGATAATATTGTGTTCATAAAATAATTTATCCCATTTCCCACAATGCCGGTCCTTCGCGAGTCTTGCCACCTCTGTCAAGGCCTCTAGAAAACTAGTCGAAATCGATCTTTCTCCTCATTTATAACCGATATACATTTGTCAACGCTTGGCGGATATTTGTCGATTTCAAAAATCTAGGAATTTCTTCTAGTGGTCGATTTAAAAGGGATTAGTATAAGATCGAAAAGGTATTCGCGAACACTAAAATAGTTCCACAGGATGTCAATATTTAATCCGATTATGGTTTCTTAATCCCCACGAGAGAATGCTAATAAAATCCTGTTTACTGCAATGGTAATGGACTTCAAATTAAAGAGCTAAAGCACAAAATTTCTAGGTTTAACTCTCGGGGAAAGTGGGCTTCATCTAAAGCCGCCGGAAAATATGGTATTGATAATAACCTACGTATGACAAGGAAAACCACGTCAATCATACAATAAGTATTAGTCAAATCCAACTAAAAATCCAACAATGATCTATTATCAATGCTGCGTTCTGATTGGATGAGCTACTACTAGGTTACTAGGCTATAAGACAGATATAAGACCTATAAGTTATATCGTACTAGACAAAAAAGCGCCGGGTTTGAAAACTAAAACATTAAATTTAACTTTAATTCAAAATTATTTGCATCTATATTTCAAAATGAAAGTTTCTAAAAATAGCATCAAAGAATCTAAAAATAGCCTCAAAGAGGTTAGGGTTAGGCTCATGATGGGGCGCGGGCGTTTCTTCTCTTCATTCATATTCTCTTATCTATATATAYATTTGACCAACTAGTTGGATTTCACTTAAAACAATTAGTTCTCTCGCCCTCATGGCCTATGGGTCAATAGCCTATTCAGGCTCAAGGACGAGTTTAATTACCGAGAACGGAAGAAAATCAGAAATTCTTTTCTTTTGTAACCCCGATCGAGCTGCTTTGACGTCACATGCAAGGGGTCTATTTTTGGTATGACAGAGATAAAGTTTTGACTTTTGCTAACACAATAAATTAAAATAAATTGAAACCTATCCTATTCACATCCTACGCTTTGATAAATAAAGCTTATTCGGATATGGTCTAGGCCTATCGTCTTTAAAAAATTCAATTCAGATGGTTTGTAGGAGTAATGTTACTTAAAACAATGTCAGCAGGTGTAGTAATTGATCCCTGTTCTTCTCGGGCACGGAATACCAACTGATAAAGTACTCCAGCAACGGTCCCTCCACCAATCGGTCCAGCCCAGTAAATCTGGGGGAAAAAAGAGAAAAAAATTATCTTGTTCAGTAGGAGTGTTTTGACATTAAACAAAACCTTTCTAAAGGCCGGCTTTGACGGTACGATGTTCGCCTACAACTTTCGTATACACCACGCTCGCGCCATCCTACGACTCGAGTCGTAGCGTGTAAATCAAGCCTACAACTCGCCTACGACAGACGTGAACGTGTTGTATACGATAGTTGTAGGCGAAAGTCGTACCGTCTAAACCGGCCTTAAGAATGATATTCAGTTATATATTTCTCGAGAAAGTTTGAAGATTTTAACTTGAATTTTGTTTCTTAGATTGAAATCATTTCCAAGAACAACAAGAATAACAAGAAACCTTCTGCCATGCTGGTTGACGAACTAAAAGGAACGAAAATGCTTTGATAACCTCAACCAATATGGCGGCTATGACGTCAACAAGATGGCTGCTATGACGTCATATACAAAGCCATGTTAACTGGGTTTGTTCCTCTCTTTACCCCACCAGGTGTAGAGTTATTCACTACCGTAAAAAATATCATAATTTCCAGGGTTTGCGGACTTAGTCTCTAATCAGGGAGTTGCTTGTTTTGTCATTATAATTTCTGCTTTTGTTTTCTATTTCAAAAGTATCCGAGCTACCCGTACATTCTAAAAACTGTGGTATTTCAGTTTAAGATGACAGACTAAGGCCCCATTTACACGAAGCCGGATATTTATTTATCCGGGTAAAAAAATGTGCGTTTACATACGGCTTCGTGTAAACGCTCATCGTTTTCGCATCGTTTTTGACCGTTTACACGAAAACGCTCCATCGACTCGAAAACGCTCATAGGAGCTAAATGAGCATGCGCATAGTTCCTGAGCCTGCGATCTCCCTTGTTTAGTGACGTCAGCGTTCATATCCGGCTTCGAGTGTTTAAACGGAAACGCATAGCCAGCGTTTTCAAAAATATCCGGCTTCGTGTAAACGGGGCCTAAGACTGGCAGGTCGCGATTGTGAGAAAATAAAAATTCCTAGCAGTGGGCTCCTGGCTAGCAATAAACCTCTTTAACATGACCGTAATGTTCTCCCACTTTAGACCACGTGTCATTCTCTTGAGAACAAGATTCTTCGTTTGAGTTGTATCCATATTCATGTGTCTTCTCATGTGCAATAGTTAAACAAAGTAATGATACTCTTGGGAATGACACGTGGTCAGAAATGGGCAAAACATTACGCCGGAGGTAAAGAGGCCTATTGTTGTACTGGCTCATACACCAAACAAAGTAGATGGATACTCCAATTCTAGAGTAACTCCTGCATTAGCGAACATCAGTAAGCATTAGTGCTGTATCCAACTTACCCAGTGATCAGTCCAGATATTCATGATGACAGCGGGACCCATGGATCGTGCCGGATTGATTCCACAACCAGTAAAACGAATCTAAAAGATAAAACAGTTAGGCCATGATGCCTTCCATAAGTCTGGCTTACATTTGTGTCTCAAGCATAATCATAGCAACAGCGCGCAAGTGCAGATGATACTTCAAGCGACTGCAAAAAGAAGGATGGGACTTTACTCATCTACTTTACTCACCCCAACCARATGACAGACAGTCACACAAAATCCAATAGCCAAAGGGACCTCATAGCCATAATGTTGACGCCTGGGATCAGTACAGGCAAACACCGTCAACACCAACAAGAATGTTAACACGAATTCGATCCCAACAGCCTGACCTGTAGAGACACCTRSTGATGGGACTGTAGCTCCTAGAGTTCCTCGCTTACTTGACGGTGTAAGGCCATAGAGCATAGCTGATCCTGCTATACCTAGAATGATAGTATACAATAGTCAACCCTCACAGGATTCGGTAGCCGACAGTGTACATATTTCAAGCATAGCAACGGTAATATATTTATTGACGATGAATAAACACCGATTTCAACTATGTTGATCATGTTTTCCTTTAAAAACTAGTCTCCTACGCAGCCGCTATAAGTTTCGTCACGCAACGCTTACTCCCCTAAGTAGCTACTTTGGGGAGTGAGCGTGGCGTGACGACACTAATAGAGGCTGCGTTGCGTAGGAGAATATAAGAAAACCTACTATCTCGAGAAGCACTGGAAGAGAGCCTCTGCAACCCAGGTTGAAGGAGGCGGAGGCGCTCCATGATTGATGGTACCAATAAGTTATCGCATTGGACCACTGGATTAAAAAATACCATGCTGTTATTTGGTCAATTATTTATATTAGCATCGAATTTACAAGAACCACTTCAGTCTGACAAATGAGACAGATTCTTATGTGAAAAGTGTATTCCTGTTCTAAGGGTCCTTCGGAATAATACATACACAGAAGTCGAGCACTAATTTACTAAATCAATGGAAGAACAATAGCGTTAATCAGTATTCAGTTAGGAGATCATATACAACCTGAACATAGTCAAAATAGAGGTTCTCATTGAGACTTATTTTTACTGTATTGTCAAGACCCACTAGGGCGTCCCGACTACTGAGGAAGGCTACGGGTTCACATCCCGAGAGGTCGCAACTGGAGAGGATTGTGTACTCGTGAGCCACTGTGCCTTCTTTGGGATATTCCCAATAAAGAAATGAGTAAAAAAAAATCCTAAACGTACGTGAACTTTTTACCACCTTTAGGGTATCATTAGCGCTTTACTAAACAAGTTAGATTATCAAGACTGACAGGTTAATGAATTGTTATCTTTTGTCTGTCTAAAGACATTGTCGTAGTACCGCCATTCGATACAATAGACTCGTACGGTAATAATTTCTTGACGATGAGCGGAGGTCAACATCAGAATTAACCTAATTTGCATACAACATAATATATATCCGCTTTCAGATTCGTAGTCAAGGGTTCCAGCTACTCATCAAATATAACTACGTTTTGATGTGGAAAATACATCATTTTGTGTTCGTTTGTTTGTTTGTTTGTTTTTCTGGTATAGAATGACTCTTTTGCATTCAAGAATGGACGATTAACTCAAAATATACACCACTCCGATGTAAAGAGTAAACAAAATAGAAAAAGAGTGTGCTTATGAAATTTCGAGTTACGAGTTCTGATTGCACATTTACGCCTAAGAAGTTGCGCTTGACAACAGAAAATTTCTAGTTTCAAAGTTATTAGAACGACAGGGAAACTTGGAAGTTTTTAGTTGATCGCTAACTGCAGTAACAGTTTGGATATAACACTAGATTACAAAAATAAAATAAACAGAATAATTTTTCAGTTATTATAATGTCCTTACCTCCTCCAACCTGGACTATTATGTAGAATAAGCCACGGAGTGGAGAGATTTTTCGAGTAACGACTTGTGCGACGCTAACAGCAGGGTTGATGAGACCCCCACTAATGTGGAGTATCGACATGGCTAAGGTAGAGATGCTAAGACCAAATGACAGCGAGATGTGTTCAATGGTTGGTGGACGGCTAGGATCCCAGGTTATCGCTGAACCAGTCGTCAAGAACACGAAGAAGAACGTCGCAAGAAATTCAGCTGCCATGCAGATCCAGAAATCTTTCGTACCAATTTCTTTTAAAAACATTTTGTAAAACTTATATCTATCCCTTGGCTGGAAGTTCACTAGCGTCTATTTCTATCTTATACTTTGTTGACTCCGTTTTGCAGTCGAGTGGTCATGAATAATCACTTCCAATAAGCCACCACAAAAGGAAAGTTTGAATAGCTGGTTAAATACTCGAATAAATTAGCTAAAAAGTCGAATACATTAATAATGTATTATCGATTTCAAACACGCAAAACAAAACAAAAATCGAATATTTTTTTCGTCGAGAAACTTAGTGATTAAATATTTTTTACATATGCTTATTCTTTGTTGGTTTATATTCCTTTAGGAATCTGTTGCTGGTTTGTATTCCTTTAGGAATCTGTCTTCACGAAAAACCCTGAACGTTAACTTATATCGCTGATTAAAGTTGACAAAATGTCCAAATCTTAGAGGATCCTAAAATCGTATATTCGTCCTTATCCTGTCCTGATTTGCCTACAAGCCTACAACCGTCAATCGAAAAAAAAGTGTTTGTGATTTCTTCATCGCTGCCACGCCAAAACTGTGCTCCTAGTTTTTGATTGGCTGTACGGTGTTTTATTTGCTATGTAACCATAGCAACAATGTCTTTACGAGGTCGTATGTGCGCCTTCTGACCCGAAAAAGCCGTACTCGGTCGCCCATGGCTACTGTTACTGCATAATTTTTTGAAACCCCCAAAAAACTGCACTAGTGTTTGATTGGCTGTACGGTGTTGTATTTGCCATGTAACCATAGCAACAATGTCTTTACGAGGTCATACGTGCGCCTTCTGGACCGAAAGGGCCGTACTTGGTCGCCCATGGCTACTCTTACTGTATGATTTGAAAAACGCAAACAAAATTGTTGAAATTCAAGCTATTGAAGGCATTCTGCCCACCATATAAAAGGTAAAATACACGGCTTCTAAGTTGGACATAACAAAAATTAATATAATATAGGAGAAAATTAAAATGTGTAGCCTTCGTTCAACATGGCGGCTATGACGTCACACGCACACTCACATTGCTTTGTGTGGGTCGAATCAATCTACGTGCTAGATGATTCAGATCCRTAGTGGCACTTGAAATACGTATTATTTTACGGTATTTAGATTGTTTGATAAAAATCCTCACAAGCGGTGATCAAAGCAAAAAATTGCCCGTTTTCCAACTACGTTACTTTAAATATAAGGAAAAAACTTAAAAAATACATTTGAATTAATAGCTATATTACAATAATAATTTAACAATATAACTTGGAAAAAACATTAACACACAAAAGAAATAATATTGATATCAAAATTTGATAATAATGAAAAATAATTAACGGAATAATTGGGTTTTGACGTCGGCCGCCATTTTGTTTGACTTTGTTTTATTGCATTCAGAAAATTTGATAAACGTGGTTTGTTTTTTTTTTTCAAATAACCTCTCTCTATTTGGACCTCCAGAAATTGGACATTAAAAATAAAGTCTTTTAACTCAGTTTTTTCTTTGTGCCACTTACTTCTGATTAGCTCAAGGAAAATTTGTCCGCTTCACGTTTAGATGCTTCACATTCATTTCCGAGAAGCACTCAGGATTACGTCATTCTTGATGCACCTACTAATGGAACCCTTCTTGTAAAAGCACCGTCTGAATCAATCAAAGCATGACTATTTCAACTTGGACACTTTGTATTAGATATTCGCGTACCCTTTCTATTTGGTTTGCATGACTTGAGTATAGTCGTTGTCAGCCAAATGAATATGCCGTCGCAAATAAAGTTTACGAGTTGACTTTTTTTTCTTTTTTTTCTTTTAATTTTTTTTTCAAAATCTCATATATATTCCGATAAATAAGCTTAGTCTAATTAAAATTTATCTACCCACTTCAGTATTCGAAAAAATCCTTTGAGATAAGCCTACGCAGTGCCCGCTAGTCACTTGAGTTTTGAACAGATATGATTCAATCCGCAATATTTACGTATTTATGAAAAAGTAAAACCATTGAAAGACTATACGTAATCACGTAAAATGTTCTTCGTGTTCTCATCAATATACGAAAAAAGGTGAAAATGGATACGACATATTAATATATCTTAAATAATAACTATTATTATTGTTCTCTCACCCTCCGATAGGCGTGTATATCTATAAATATCGACAGTTTTCATTTTAACCACGCAAACGTATCCTGTCATTTCATTTCCTTTCTTTTAAAAACTCTGCAAAACTAACTCAATTTTTACCGCACCAATTAATCGGTCAAGCGATAAGTAATCCATCATAACACGTAGCTTATTCATTAGTTTTATTGTCGGCGAGTTGCTCTGTAATTTTCCCAAAAACAACTAACGATATGATCTTATTTTCCTTTAGCAAAACCTGTGCTCCCTGCTAATTAATCCCACGACAGTCATCTAATCATTAGCAGCAAAGATTGCGTGTTGTTTTGTCCCTAAGTATTTAGCTGATCTCATTTAGAAATGACGCTTTATTGCTTTAAGGAAACTTCAAGTTTGTTTCCATGATGTACAACACGGACAACTTTGATATATTTAGCATAGCGCTAAGCCAATAGATAAATTATGGATAGAGGAAAACCGCAAAGTACGGTCTGCGGCTAATTCTCGAGTGTAATTGGTTCAAACGGTTTTGAGGGAGTCTCTAACGTGTTCAGTCCTTGTGTGTACTTTGGGATATCTGTTTTGTTTTTACGTAATTCCGGTTGATGTTGCAATCATTTGTTTGTGGTAAACTGCGTATTCTTACAGACTTGGTTACTGTACGTTGATGGAGAGTACTCAGAATAAATGACACCAAAATTTCCAAGAACATGGCCGRCTCGGATTCAGGAACTCACATCTCTGACATAACGGAAAACAATTCTGAGGACCTTGAAGCGAAAAATGAAGGTAACAAAACCCAACTTAAAGTAATTTCTTTTCTAACATAAACATCCAGTCGTCAAGCTCATAAATTATCTAAATACTGAATGGTTAATAATCTTTAAAAAAGACTTTGCTAAAACTTCACAACAAAAGGAAATAAAAACAAAAATAAATACAAAACATCTCGAGCAATCCATTTGGAACATTTTAAAATATAGATTTGTTGTCGTCCCAATTATGAGGGCTTTTAGCGCCTTAACGGAAGCGGCGTTTTATCATACACGATCGGAACTTTTTCATTTGATATTTTCAATATTCATGCAACCAGTATTTTGTTACTAAGTACGATCCCTTTTTACCTTCTTTTCATTGTCCAACTTTCGAGAAATCATTATTCAACATAAACTCATATTTAGAAATTACGTTTTTAGGAATTAATTGAATCAAAAACTGAGTCGAGGTGATCATTTAATCTATCTTGATTATTTAATTATTCGTTTCGAAAAAAAAAATTATCATGTTACAACATGAATAACTACCTTAAAACGAAACGCACCTCTTCTCTTATCGAAAATAGGAATTCTCCCAACCAGCAGGGGATCGATATTTCGTTTTTTTCACGGCTAACAATGGTTCTTTGTCCCATTAATTCTCGCTAAATTTAACGGATCTTGATGCCATCGACCAAGAGGAAGTTTCGTGGTCCATTTAGGTGAAATTCTGTAATTTTTTCTCGCTCCATCAAGTTGCTACGTCCCAGTTGTCAGCCTTGTCAAAACGTACTTAGAACGCCGGCAAGTATCGTTCTTTCAGTAATCTAACATCAAGGCATACTTCATGTCAACACTAGCTTATCGTCTTCCTCGAGCTCGTGTCAAAACCATGGTGGCAGTTTCGATTAATGCTAGTTTTAATAAAGGGCCTTGGATTTGTGACCCGTTTTTAGGGCTTAAATTATTTTGTGTGAGATTGTTGTAGGATTCTTTCTGACAGTCTAGAACAAAATCATCCAAGTGAGCACGTAATGGTAAAGCATGTTTTGCGCATGCCCGAGAGAATTGGTGGAACAGCTTAAAGAAGTCCACAAATGAAGCAACTGCAAACCTAAACCTGCATGCTTTGCGTGTATTTGCATTTCTTACTACGTTAGATTACCAGGCAGGTTTTCTCTCTTTCCGCGTGCATATCGTAGTTTTATCAAAATGCATCCCACATGGAAAGAAGTGACTATGGATGATTAATCTTCAAGGACACTAGTAAAATTTTGCGTTTGCTGGTCATAGCAAGAGATTAATCAGCTATGGTCTAGGGGCCGACTAATCTCTACCTTTAATAAATGTCATTACTGATTCTATATACATGTTTATGTTACAGAGCGCCTTCAATCAATTATAGAGTCTACCACCACGACACAGCCTAAGACAATCTCATTGGATGAGAATAAAAAACCCAAAAGGACCGAAAACGAAGAAGTTATAGAACAGAAAAATATCAAGAATAGCACACCAGGGGTGAACAGCCACATTCCAGACACGACCACATCTCTCAACTCACGGCCAACACCAAACACTCATGTCAGTCAGACACACAGGCATGTCAAGATGGATCCTCAACTAACCGCTGTTCAGGGACATCGCACTCGAAGTAGTGACTCTCAGTCAATCACCGAAGACAATCACGTGACTATTGCCCACGTCCACTCAGCTCCACGTGTCTTTAGGAAAGTTAACGGTGACTTAGCGGCCGCACCAAAACGACAAGCAAGGCGCCAACGGAGTTTACCTCCTCGTTGGTCACAGAACAGGAACAAAGCGGGGCCCTCGAGGGGTATTGAGAATTTATCGTTCAACAGAAGCTTTGAAAGTTTTCAGGGAAACGACCATGGCGGTCCCAGGTCTGCCTACGACTTTATGGATGCAGAAATTTATAGCAAGTCCAAAAGAGCAGCTGTAATAGATGTTGATATGAACGACAGAAGAGAATTCCAATCGGGAGATGCGAGTGATGAGGAGGAGGAAGATGACATCTCCTGGGCACCCACTGGAATCTTCGCTGTGTTCGTGGTTASCTTGTGGACTGCTCTATTAAAGCTTATAGACAGTATTAAACAAAATGGTCCAGTTATATGCTCTGAGGGGGAGGAGGTGAGGCTCTGGATTTGTGCTGGGTGTCTGTCCTTGATATACTGTTTGGCTGAGATCATTTGGAAGAGGAAAACCTTGATCAAAGCATTATTTGGTACGATATTAATATTCACATACATGATGTTGGGACACGCTGAGCCGTTGTCTTGTCGCTTGGGAGAAGCTAGGCTCTCTGAGATTGGCAAGTGGCAAGCAGCCATGAACTTTTTTTTCGCGGCTATACTAGGCACGCGTGTTTATCAAGAAATTGCCGAGTTTATACGCCAGAAGAAGAAGAAGAAAAGAAAAGCGAAAAAGCAACGAAGGGAGAATAGAACGCGACGAGAAGACTTGAGTGATGAGGATTCGTCGGTGATGAGAGTGTATCGTGTGTGAATGACACGCGGCACAGATTTAAAGTGGAAATCCAGCTACAAGATCGGCTGCAAATCTATTTGTTAAACAGGATACATTGTTTGAGCACTTTATTGCGATGTCCAAAGTTGGGCGGATGAAAAATTACCCCTCGAAAATATTGTTCTCGGAAGCTCGTCATTTTAATTTAGCAATTTTCTTTAATTTTGGTTATTTCACGACGTAATTTTTGAACTGCGGTGATGAAGAACAATGATGATGACAAAATTATAGGCAAGGCCGGCAAAGTATGGCCGAGTACATCGTACATAGCTGGACAGTTGTGATTAGCTGCATGGCTGAATAAACAGCAAGTAAATTAACTCAATACTGATGGTCACGTATAGCGAATTATAACACGAGTACACTGAAATATGACAGTGGATGGTGTACAAGTAAAATGGCTCCTCAGTAAATTATACATTTATACGTATATACGCTCCCATCTCCCATACTGTATATATATCCATCTGACCAATCACAGCCCGGCATTGAAAGTTAACGGACAACAACGAACTTTCATAAGAAATATGAATTATCACTGATGAGTTCTGGCAATTATTTAAAGTATTTTTAAAACCTAGGGGGGAGGGGAGGGGGAACGTGTATGAAGTATGAAGAAAAGCAATAAAAGTTGTTTCAAAAACCACCGACCTACAAAAAAAATTTTCTTGCAAAGATGTCTGCAAAGAAGGCTACAAATACACTACCGAGCCGTCATAGCTAGTTACTGTGATGCCTGGATTAATGAAAAAGGCTGATTGTTTGATTGTATGTATTTAAACTCATCCCTAGTATTTTATCCTCACTGCATATTCATTACCGAGTCACGGGAATTAAGATATGGAAGGTGACCGCGACTGCTGGCAATGAGCATGCGAAAAGCATGCGATGCGGCGTCGTCAACCGCCACCAGGGGAGGTGGGTGGGGTGAATCTTCTACTCTCTCCTTAGGCAGCTTCCGACGGAAAGATTCAAGGATCTGGGTATTGCGCTTATATATGGAGGGGTCGCAAAGCATTACACCCACACTGCGCAAACTCCAATGTCCATAAATGGGGGGATGCTAAATTCCTTTGTGACACGCAGTGAGAATAGTAGATTAGCTTGGCGTTAGGCTTGTTCGGTTGGATGAGAGGGGCCTGGCACATAAAATCGCGGTAACCGTGGCAGCCCTGTCACAACTCACCGTGCACCTGTCACACTGACGGCCTGAGCAGTGGAATACTTACCTATATATACCTACCATAGGGAGGGTAGGGTGGGGGGGGGGGGGGGGATGAGAACAGCGGCTATCGCAGACTATTCGCTGCTACTCAAATCGAGCCTAACTTTGCCTTAATTTCATTAGAAAACACATTTAAATACGAATGAATGCATCCGACAAGAATATAGGTCACACAGGTCAGACTAGAACTGTTGAACTGAATACTTGTGATTATCAGCATGATATTTTTAGCACGATATATTCTAGTTTGACTTGTCCTCAATGTCTGGCCCAAAACAAAAGCCTCAAAGACATCAGGACAAACTGGAAATCATAGTCCAACTGAACATTTTAATTCAGTATCGTTAGTTCTGGTTTGACTAGTTCTCCATAGCATTATCTAAGAAAACGTGATCCCACCTAACTGAGCAAGCTGTGTAATACACAATTTGAAACCACAGTAATTTTCCAGCCTGACACATTATATAGAAAACAGCTTGGGCTACCTGTGACCTGAAGGGCCGTTTTGCAGGCTATTAATATTTGGTCTGGCAAAATACTAACACGTACAAACATTACTCGATCAATTGTCAACTGCGTTCGAATCGACGCGGCGTAATGAGCAATATGCAGCATAATAACAGTCAATAAAGTCCTTCAACCATGAATGCCGGTAGTTAGTATTTTAGTTGTTTGCTCAACATTCAAAGTTTTAACGAGCTCTTAACAATGTCAGGCAACTCATCTTACAGATTGAAGTGAAATTGAGCTTGTTAGGTTTTGTAGAGGGAGGGAAAACCAGAGAACTTGGAGAAAAACATTCAAGACTGCAGCTCAGTTCCGCTTCATTTTCTCGCATTTACACTGCATTTTAGTTTCATTGGCTAATATTACGCAAGGATACTCAATCCTAGTAAAATCCCGCGCGTAAGGAAAATGCCTGTCCATGCTTACTTGTCATTTTGTATCAGTGGATACGTGAAAACTAGCTCTTCCTGTCCTTGACCTCAGATTTGCTAACGTTTACCGTTTGGTAATTGGATAAGTCATGTTCCGGTGTCAATGCCAGGATGATGTTACAGATGAAGAATCACAAATAATAATCGTCAATTATTGTTAACTTGGGCAACTTTCTTTGTCAGTCATAAGTACGTAGTCATCCAGTGCCTTCAAATGCTTGTCTTGTGTTTCAGAAGGTATTTATTTCGTGCAAGACAATATTTTTCGTTTCTATGACAACTTGTCGCACGCTTCTTGTCGATGTAACATGTTAAAGCGAGTTTCAACAGGATGACGAGCCCGGATTTTAAAAGGTCACGTAAAACAACGACAACGTGCGAAAATTCTTCGCTCGGTATCCTATAACAGGGTTTTCCGTTTCCTTCGTCGTGGCTATAAAAGGACTCCAGTTCTCGTAGGACATAAGCAAACGACAGCTAACCATTCTAAGTGGAAAAGAAAGTAAAGCGAACAAGTTTTTCAGTGATATTTGGAGCAACTCTACGAAAGAAAAAGGTAAGAGCTTAGTACATGCAGCTCTATTGGACTAGAAAATACTGCATGCTTCTAGACTGGTCCAGTAATGTTTCAGCGTCAATTTTACAGTGTTACTTTTTTTTTCACTTTTTTTCGTTTGTGTAATTCTTTCCACTTCCTAGTAGATTTTGGTCTACTTATTCGAGCATCGTTCTATTTCAGTATGATGGTGAAACGAATCCTTATATTGTTATTGTGTGGTTTTCTCGGGTCAACGTGTGCGTTCTGGCAGTCAACGATTAACACTGGGCTAGAAGGAATGAGAAGAGCCGAATGTCAGGTAATCTAGTTCTATTGCATTATATTTATTTCTTGAATCAAGATATCCAAAAAGAATCAGGTCTGAATGTGATGAGTTTTCCTGGTATACTTTTTGAAGCGCGATAATATGCAGACGTCACTGGTTCATGATGACATCATCTTTATGAAAATAGATATGACTTTATGCACTTATGTTAAAAATGAGCCAAACATATAAGTTCTAGTACTACAATCTAACATAGATTAATAATGATATTATACTAAGCTGATATATTGCCCTGCAAACCCTACGAACACTAGTTGATTTATCATGTTTTGTTCCCTACAGTCTATTGCAAGGTCACAGCTCAAAAACCAGTTCAAAAGTTACTGCAAAGTTGGTAGAATCACCGTCATTGGGCTGGACGTTGGGCGCGGGCTCTTTCGTCTGCCAAATAATCAATTATCGTTCAACGGAAACGTCCTGAGGACGAGYGACGTCACGTTCATGACGGAACAAGATGGCTATGGAAGCATCGTAGCCAAGTTCAACGGTGCGGTACTTAAGTGCAGCGGTCACGGGGCAATGAAGCAAAAGACATGCGTCATACCACGAGCAAACAGACCTTGGTCTGGACAAATCACTGTCACAGTCTTTGGTACAGGAGGATATAATCCTTCTACGAGCTACTATATGAGAGGAACACCAGGTAATGTACTTGACATGCGCACTTCTAGCGTACACAGGATACCCATAAAAGTCGGCCCTTTACAGCGAATACGGCATCAAATTTGAATAGCTCACTTCCGAGATATGCTGTGATATGTTTCACTATATGCCGCGCACAACGGTTTCAGTACAAGGGCACGTGCTAAATCAGATTTATCTTCTGTCACGTAGCCTTAAGGAGCACTGATTTAGCATATTACAGTGATTTTTTTTTYCCCACCCGTGAAAGAATAGCCAACGTAATACACAATAGTAGACACGAATTGTATTGTTTTCTTTTGTTATACTTTGACTGTTATTCAATAATTATATAACTTCGTTTACACGGCCAAGTAAAATCACTCTAGTAACAGTAAAGCATATCTCGGACGTTGGCTGTTTTACTTGTTTTGACCTGAATTTGCGATGTTTTCGAGATAGTATGCCACGATGTTAATACACTACGAAGTAAATATTAATCGCTTGTGGTGACTTGATCCTCTTTAATTTTGCAGTTTGTTTAAACTCTGGATACGACGGAGATAACTGTGATACTGGTAAGTTRATACCACAACAGCCCGCTTTGCGTGGTTGTGGGCTTCTTTTCTGGTCCGCAGCATCTAAACTAAACCTAGGAATTACCCCCAAGTGATTCCATTACACCTATTACATCATTTTCATTACATCATGGGATACCTGTGGGATGGGTGGGAGTTTTCGCGCCAAAATGCGTGTGCTCGCCCCTCTTATACTCTCGCAGCGCCGTTGACACAAATTGGCTTGCGTGAGCTCATTGCCAATACCACAATAAAGACAAGATTAGAATGAAATTCTACTGGGACCACAGAAAATCTTATTCCTGTTATTCTGGCGCCGGCTGTAGTCTTCGTGTAGACCACAAGATAATGCCTGGCGAAAGACATTCCGAAAAAAGAGTTGATGCCATTTTGTTTCCTTATTTTGCTTCTAATATTTTGAGTTTTCTTTAGATATCAACGAGTGTGAGAAGTACAAAGACAAACGGCTGTGCCAGTGGCAGAACGGCTGTGTTAACACACTCGGTAGTTACAGGTGTACCTGCCCAGCAGGATTCAAAGTATCGGTTAAAGACTTCAGGCTTTGTGATCCAGGTATTGTAAAAAAAATGTACTTGTATGTGATTCATCTTTATTTAGAGTCTAAACTTGTGGCTCTTTACGTTTAACGTCTTTCTCTGGACTAGTTTTATCGTTCTTATGATTAGTCTATAATATCATGCACATGATAAGGGCGTCCTTTGGGACTGACTGACTTCAGCTTGTTGGCAGAAGTGTTTTATTGACAGCAACAATAATACGTGGTCGTACTATGTCAAAATCTATCGTCATAATATCGAAGCCAGCGTCCGTAAAAGCCTCACACAAAGAAAGTCGGTCATGATATAGGACACTTGGTTAACATATTTAACCAGTGGTTTTCTGATGCTTGCAGATCCACCACAAATCTACAGCAAGCCTGTTACCCTGACAGCCATGTTTGGCGCCACGACTGTATTACCTTGCCAGCATAAAGCACAACCCTTAGCTATAGTCAAATGGCAACTAGGAAGCCGAGTGATAGCCATTAAGCAAGCAAACGGTAAGAAAGTGAATAACACTAATGGTTAATTTACAAATATGCCTCGCGTATACGTACTCGGATTTCTTGGGCAGCTTTATAGGGAGGATGGCGGTACATTTCTATTTTTTCTATTTTTTAAAAAAGACCAATCGATCTGATTAACTTTGTTGGGCATTTGTAGCACTAAAGCATGAACTACATGGCTCAGTACCTTTTTTACCGATGATTTTTTTGTTTCAATGTGCTGCGCTACCACGGACAACCATGCTTGAACCACGTTTAAAATGTTTAACTTTTTAGCGTACCTTTTTCGATTTGGATATATCAGGCTCTTAACATGTAATACATTGTTTATTACACATCCTAGATTGATACAATAACAAAACTCACAGTTTCAAGTTTACCGTGAAGTGATATCGTATAACTTCGATCACTGATATGGTATTTATTCACAGCTTTATCACTGACACTGATATCGAACCTAACGTACAGGTGCAACCCAAACCATTAATGACGCAAAGCTGACAGTACGTCAGGACGGTGGTCTGGTTATCAAGTCAGTAGCATATGGTGACGCAGGGGACTTTTTTTGTGTTGTACTTAATATTCGATTCTTGGCCAGCGTCAAGCACACACTCAAAGTTGAATGTAAGTATTCGATAATTTGGTGAGAACGTAACTAGACCAAACGGCCACTCAAAAAACTAGTTGCATTATTGTCTACGGAAATAAAGATTTTTTTGAGAAATTATGTTCAAAGCTCTGTCTTTGCGAACAAATGGTTTCCTTATAAAATTCATTTTTGTACACATTTTGTCCAGTGATGTAAATCAGTGCCAAAATAGTCCTTATCGTATCTAAAGTTACTGAAGGAATGTTCCAAAAAAGAGATTTCCACCAGTCTAAATCATAACAATGTTTATATATTACATATAACATTACATAACATTTCATCGACCTCTTTTTTCGCAGCTGTTCCACTGATGGATGTTCAACACCTTATCAGCGGTAACTACACAAAGCAGCATGCGTATCATGTAGGAGACAACGTGACTATTGATTGCCAAGTGATTGCTATGCCGGTACCTGTGATCTCATGGACTAAAAACTCCCAAGCTCTTCAAACGACACAACGCTTAAAGGTTGGTTAACACAACTAACTATCCAATGAAGGGT